AGAGAGAGAGAGAGAGAGAGAGAGAGAAAGAGAGGGAGAGAGAAAGAGAGAGAGATTTTATAGAGTGGAGCTGTTAAAACATTTACGGCAATAGTTATGTTGTCGTTTACATATTTTTGTTACGAGGTAGGTTTCTGACTCTGCTTGTCTGAGCCATCCTGGGCTGAGAAGGATACAGTATCCTACCAAAATCCTTTTTCCCTCCCTTGCCCATTTATATGAGATTGACGCCATCTGATTAGTAGAAAAAAGTGCATATGATTGTGTCCAATAGTGTATTACATGCATACTTAGTATATCAATTAACTGTAATAGCGAATAGAGATTCCAGGATTATAGATGTAAGTCATTGATCTGAGAGAGGTGATGATTTTAGAATTAATAGTGGTGATGAGTGATGATGAGGGATTGCGTTTAAGTAATGTTAGCGTTAGTCCTATGTTCTTCAGCTCCAATGAGTCACGAGGGACGTTGGTACCCTCTATCCCGTTCCCTACTGGAACCATCTTTACGGTCACCATGAAGTTCCGAAATGGTGGGCTCAGTCTCTGCTAAGGTGACATCGTTAGTGTTAGCCTATTCTATCGAGCCAGAATCCAGAATGACCGAAATACTGGATGTGGATCAACATTATTTTTGTTTTTTTTGGGATTTGTTTGTTTGTTTTGTTTTGTTTTTTACTTTGGTTTTTAGAACAACCAAGCAAATAAATGAGTAGTGAACCATATACTTCGATATCTGAGATCCAGCACTCTTTGATAATGTTTGTTGTCTTTTATTCTTTTCTCCCCCTTTTCTCTCCCCCTCTCTACCTTTCTCTTTATCTTTCCTTTATACCTTCCTCTCCTCTGCTCTCCTCTTCTTTTTGTCTCTTCTTTTTAAAAATTTTTACTCTTTCCTTCTCCACTCTCCTGTTTGCCTCTATCTCCTTTCTTGCCTCTCTTTTTCTCCACGCCTCTCTTTGTTCACTCTTTCTCTCCTCTCCCCCTTTCCACTCTTCTCTTTATCCCTACATTCTTTCCTTCCTCTACACACACACACACACACACA